AAAGTTATAAATGTAGGAACAAGGAACACAGGCCAGACCTACAGAATGAGAGACTGAATCCTGCAAAGAAGTATCCTACCTACAAGCAAAGATGGACAAGCACAAGTCCATGGGTCAGGGTGGACTGCATCCGAGGGTGCTAAAGGAGTTGACGGATGTGATTGCAGAACCATTGGCCATTATCTTTGAAAACTCATGGCGATCAGGGGAGGTCCCGGATGACCGGAAAAAGGCTAATGTAGTGCCCATCTTTTAAAAAGAGAAGAAGGAGGATATGGGGAACTACAGGCCAGTCAGCCTCACCTCAGTCTCTGAAAAATCATGGAGCAGGTCCTTAAGGAATCAATTTTGAAGCACTTAGAGAAGAGGAAAGTGATCAGGAACAGTCAGCATGCATTCACAAAGGGCAAGTCATGACTGACTAACCTAATTGCCTTCTATGATGAGATAACTGGCTCTCTGGATGAATGGAAAACAGTGGATGTATTATTCCTTGACTTTAGCAAAGCTTTTGATAAGGTCTCCCACATTGCCAAAGGGTACTGGCAAGTACCACTAGATGAACCTGCTAAGGAAAGGTCAGCCTTCACTACCCAGGCAGGGGTGTATGAATTCAATGTATTCCCTTTCGGGTTGCGAAATGCACCCGCCACCTTCCAAAGACTTGTAGATGGTCTCCTAGCAGAATTGGGAGAATCTGCAGTTGCCTACCTCGATGATGTGGCCATTTTTTCTGATTCATGGACAGAACACCTGGAGCACCTGGAAAAAGTCTTCGAGCGCATCCAGCAGGCAGGACTAACTGTTAAGGTTAAAAAGTGTCAAATAGGCCAAAACAGAGTGACTTACCTGGGGCACCAGGTGGGTCAAGGAACTGTAAATTCCCTACAGGCCAAAGTGGATGCTATCCAAAAGTGGCCAGTTCCAAAGTCAAAGAAACAGGTCCAATCCTTCTTAGGCTTGGCCAGATATTAGAGGCGATTTGTACCACACTACAGCCAAATCGCCGCCCCGGTGACAGACCTAACCAGAAAGAAACAGCGAAATGCAGTTCAGTGGACTGATGAGTGTCAAAAGGCCTTTAACCAGCTTAAGGCGACACTCATGTCTGACCCAGTGCTAAGGGCCCCAGACTTTGACAAACCATTCCTAGTAACCACAGATGCATCCGAGCGGGGCGTGGGAGCAGTTTTAATGCAGGAAGGACCAGATCAAGAATTCCATCCTGTCATGTTTCTCAGCAAGAAACTGTCTGAGAGGGAAAACCACTGGTCAATCAGCGAAAAGGAATGCTACGCCATTGTGTACGCGCTGGGAAAGCTACACCCATATGTTTGGGACGGCGTTTCCAACTACAAACAGACCATGCTGCGCTACGGTGGCTTCACACCGCCAAGGGCAATAACAAAAAACTTCTTCGGTGGAGTTTAGCTCTCCAAGATTTTGATTTTGAAATACAACACATTTCAGGAGCTTCTAACAAAGTGGCTGATGCACTCTCCCGGGAAAGTTTCCCAGAATCAACTGGTTAAAAAATTGTTCTTAGAATGTGGAAAATATTGTTAGTTTTTATCTAATCAGTAGTATGTCTAAAGGTGCATGTGTCTTATTAACTCTGTTTTCAACTAGAGCTCCAGGAAGAAATCACAGCCAGTGTGGAACCGGCTGTCCAACACTATCTGTGATTTGGGGGTCGTGTCATAACTATAAAGGGAAGGGTAACAGCTCTCCTGTGTACAGTACTATAAAATCCCTCCTGGCCAGAGACTCCAAAATCCTTTGACCTGTAAAGGGTTAAGAAGCTCAGGTAACCTGGCTGACACCTGACCAAAAGGATCAATAAGGGGACAAGATACTTTCACATCTTGGGTGGGGGGAGGCTTTCATTTGTGCTCTTTGTTTTGGGGGTTGTTCGCTCTTGGGACTAAGAGGGACCAGACATCAATCCAGGCTCTCCAAATCTTTCTGAACAAGTCTCTCATATTTCAAACTTGTAAGTAAACAGCCAGGCAAGGAGTCTTAGTTTATCTTTGTTTTCTCAACTTGTAAATGTACCTTTTGTTAGAGTGTTTATCTCTGTTTGCTGTAACTTTGAACCTAAGTCTAGAGCGGGGTCCTCTGGGCTCTGTAAGTTTGATTACCCTGTAAAGTTATTTTCCTTCCTGATTTTACAGAGATGATTTTTAACTTTTTCTTTAATTAAAAGCCTTCTTTTTAAGAACCTGATTGATTTTTCCTTGTTTTTAGATCCAAGGGGGTTGGATCTTGATCCACCAGGAGTTGGTGGAAGGGAGGAGGGGGGATGGTTAATTTCTCCTTGTTTTAAGATCCAAGGGGTTTGGATTTGTATTCACCAGGGAATTGGTGAAGAGTCTCTCAACGCTACCCAGGGAAGGGAATTAGCATCGAGAGTGGTGGCAGTGGACCAGATCTAAGCTGGTAGTTAAGCTTAGAAGTTTTCATGCAGGCCCCCACATCTGTACCCTAAAGTTCAGAGTGGGGAAGCAGCCTTGACACCTTCCTTTGAGGTTTTTAAGATCAGGCTTGAAAAAGCCCTGGCTGTGATGATTTTGTTGGAGATTGGTCCTGCTTTGAGCAGGGGGTTCGACTAGATGACCTCCTGAAGTCCCTTCCCACCCTGATATTCTATGATTCCAAGCAGATGAAACATGTAGCTAAAATCTTGAACTCCACTGTGTGGAATGCAGAGCACATGAGACTTATGATTCCAGTTGGGGCAGTAGTAAGTATCAACTTTATTCAACTAGGAATGCAGCCATCCCAAAATGTATCATGTCTTCACATTCGCCAAGGAAACTCCCATTAGCATGGGTTAGGGACAACCTAAATTCAAACTACCTTGCAAGTTGTGACTGGAGTCCTAGGGGAGCCAACAGAGGTCATTCAATTAGGGTGAACTGCAAAGAATGGGGCAGACAATCCCCAAATCTGGTGGATATTCCAATACTTAGATTTACCAAGCCAACGCAAAACAGCTTCTATAATACCACACTGGTTACCCAGAAGCCAACAGTTCCCTTAAAGCGACCCAGCCTCAGGCCTCCATCCAGAGACCCAAGTCAAATATGATGAGGATTACGGAAAATCTTATTAATAATTTTAAAAAGTTCTACCAATCCCAAAGGATTGGACACATTATCTCTCAGGTTAATGAATATTACAGATCTTACTCAAATACATGCTTACGGCCAATTCTTATTAACTAAACTAATATTTATTAAAAAAGAAAAGATAGAGAGCATTGGAAAAAGATCAGTATACATACAGACATGAGTATAATTCTTGAGGTTCAGATTCATAGAAGACATGGTGAGCTCTGTAGTTGCAAAGCGTTATTTCAGAAATAGTTCATAGGTTACAGTCCACTGTTTACATTGAGGGTGGTCCAGTCAGGACTGGGATCTCAGTCCTTATGGCTTAGGCTTTCCCTGCATGAAGCCTCAAGCAGATCTAAGATAAAAAAGAATTGGCATCCAAATATCTTTATATAGTTTCAGTCCTTCTTGTGACAGCTCAGAGTCCTTCACGAACAATAGCCACTCATGGAGGCTTTGAAGTGGACCCATTTCTTAAGCATTGCTGGTAATTATCCACACGGATTAACATAGGGCAATTGCTTGTTTTTCCACCATTCGCCGATGATTTGATATAGATTTCAAACACATATGAATACAGTGATATCCTATATTTACAATTCATTTAAATGTTAAGATGTCCTTTTGATCTCAGAATTAACAGAATACAGCATAGACAGGAACTGTTTGATTACATTGCTGACCTTTAACGATATATATGTAAATACACAAAAACACAAACATTTTCTACCCATATGTCTTTAAGGGTTGAATTTGAGTTCTTTATCCTTTGGGATGCTTAACCCTTCCTGGTTATGCATCACACTAGATATGACACATTAATTAATTCCCATATCAATCACTGTTCCTGAATTGCTGAGAGCACCATACATTTAATGAATACTTTTCCCAGGGCCTCCTTGACCTCTTTGTTTCTCAGACTGTAGATGAGGGGATTGGCCATGGGAGTCAGGACAGTGTAGAAGACAGAGAAGACCTTATTGAGGTCTCTAAGTGTGTCAGTGTCTGGTAACACATAGACAATGATTAGTGTCCCATAGTAGATTGTAACCACAAGGAGGTGAGAGGAGCAGGTGGAAAATGCCTTTCTTCTCCCACTGGTGGAAGGGATTCTCAGGATGGTGGAGATGATGGAAACATAGGATGCTAAGGTTAATAGAAATGGGGGTAGGGTGTCTATAGAAGAGAATATAAAGGTCACTAGTTTGATTAGGCTGGTGTCACTGCAGGAGAGTTTAATCACTGGGGTGAAATCACAAAGGAAATGGTCAATTTCATTGGGGCCACAAAAATGTAATTGTGACATTAAATATATTACTACAGCAGTTGCCAGAAATGAGCTCATCCAGGAGATGGCTGCTAACTGCAGGCAGATTCTGCCATTCATAAGAGCAGTGTAGTGTAGTGGTTTGCATATTGCTAAATACCGGTCATAGGACATCATGGATAAGAGAGAACATTCAACTGCCACCAGGAAACCAAAGAAATAAAATTGAGTGATGCAGCCACTAACAGAAATGATTCTGTCTCCAGTCAGGAGACCAGCCAGCAGTCTGGGCAGGACTGTGGAGGTGTAGCAGGTCTCCAAGAAGGACAAGTTCCCCAGAAAGAAGTACATGGGGCTGTGAAGGTGCTGATCAGCCACAACTAGTACAACAATGAGGATGTTCCCGGCCACAGTGACAATGTAGATCACTAGAAACAGCAGGAAGAGAAGAATCTGCATTTCACGGAGATTCCCAAATCCAAGGAGGATGAACTCTGTGATATATGTTTCATTTTCCCCTTCTCTTTTCTCCAAGAGCTGTCTGCAAGTTCCTCCTTCCTCCATTTCCGATGACATTTATCTAGTGGTAGATAAAATAATGAGCATTGAAAGAGATTGCTGTACAATTGAACTGGATAAATTTCCCGCCATTTGATTCTGGAAAAGTTCAAAGTGCAAATGGAAGGCATATTTATAAACTTTCACAGATCCAAGACACTGCTTTAATCTGAGATTTTACACAGGGCTTTGGAATAGAGATTCCCGACTTGACACGTCCAAAGTGCACTACCCTGTTAATTTATCACTCTTCTGTTCCCAAGTTCTTTCATTCATAGTTGCATAGTGTGACATTCCTCTGGTGTTATCTGGACCAGTGATCAGCTAGGTCACTCCAATCCTCGACTCTGGGAGCCAGTCTTACCCTGCTCTGCTGAGAGAATCCCCACTCCCGAGCTGTTCACGCAGAGCCTCTAGTATGTAAGCTGCTCCCAGCTATGTGAGTGAGCACTTTTAGCCAGCCACTGCCTGGATTGTGCAACTGAATGACACTAGGTAATATCTCCGGTCCCAGACACAACCCTAGGAACCTCCGTCTTGCAGTGTCCAGTTATGCCCGCTGGACGCTGCAAGCTTATATGAGTTCATCAATTTAACAAAGAAATTGATATGTACCAGGCTTGTTGTCCCAAGCGGAATCTCTGACATGCTTCAAACGAAACACACTGCCTCGGGTATAAGAAACAAACAAATGTATTAACTAAAAAGGATATATTTTAAGTGATCACACTAGCACTTTCTGACACAGGATCACACTGGGAGCTCATGTTAAGTTTCTCCTCAACTACAACCCCTAAACTAGCTTGATGGTGGTTGGGGTCAAACACAGAAGCTTTCCCAGAGAGGGACACACACGTGAAGGTATCATGCTAGTGATGGAGATTAGGCAGTGACACTGACCAACAGCAAAGAGAAGATGACTCTGCCCTGTGCACAAAGGGAAAACCCCAAGAGGATGTGCACAGAACCTTCTCATGCTTATCCCCTCAGCGAATCACCTACAAACCCAGGAACACATTCCACCCGCAGCTGTAACTTGTAACCCAGCTGATTTGTGTGAGTCTGCTGGCAGGAAACTGCAGACCGATTCTGTTCTGCAATATGTACAGTCACTCTTTGTAGTGTCTCAGTTCAGCAATAGTAGGAGCAGTGTTGAGACATATCAAGGGGATAATGGGGAATGATACAGAGCAGTAAAACTAAAAGGCAACAGTGTACTTGATAGGTAATTCAGCTTGCTCTGTTTCCCAATATACCAGGATTTTCTCCCTAAAATCCCCAGGATTTGATGCAGGAATGATCAGATTTACCTTTAATGCTCAGCATGCAGTGGACATCTCTCCATTGATTGTGACTGGGTGTGGAGATCGGGATCCAGATTCCACCACCGTTCTGGTCTCCTCAGTGTCTCAGACAATCCCATTCACTCTGCAAAGACACCTACATTTTGCTGCTTGGCTGCACTGCTCTTGTGTTCTCACTCAATGCACACTCTTGTGTATGATGCACAGAAACTTAGTGTTGCCTCTCCTGGGTTCTTACAGGGCTTACAGGGGACAGCAGCCTCATCCTCTCCTTGACAGCTGTTGGGATCTCCCTTGTGGCTGAGGATAATGATCATCACTCAATTGTCCTCACAGGGGTATTAAATCCTATTTTGCCTGTTAAAACAGCATAAACATCAAGGCCATAGCAAGTCCTGTTCAAACCTCCAGGGAATCTCCCTTTTCATCATGTCCTGTGTGTGTGTCAGTCAGGAGTCCAAGGCTTAGGCAGATTTATATATATACCTATACACTTATCTGAATCTTTAGAACATTTTAAAAGCTCACCCTTAGGAATTCAACTAAGGTGCAAAGTTACTGGAACTCAGGTTCCTAATTCATGTACGTGTTTTGAAAGATTCTGGCAATTTTCTAATGCAGAATTAAATAGCAGTTTCTCCACACTTATTAATTATTTTTTCACCTGACATTGAAATGATCTTTAGGAAAAAGAGCTGTTTCACCAGAAATCATTCGTGTCGATTCATTATTTTATTTCAACATGCAGAAATCCATTTAGGATCTTATGAACCTTCTGATCATTGCAAAATAACACATGTAACAAACAATTTTATGAAGGCTGATAAAATCTATCCAACTATAAAATAAAATAGGATGCCTGGTACCAAGTTAAGAGACAAAATATTTTATCAGCCCAATACCACCCATTGGGATCCAAGGGCAGTGCTGTGTAAAATACAGTTTTCTCAAATCAGTCAGAGCAAAGAAACACACGAAACTTGTAATTAAAATCTTGAATGTCAGTCATTGGAATTCAGAGAACAGGAGAATTATGATTCCACCTGGGGCAGTAGTAAGTGTCAGCTCTAATCAAATAGGAATGCAGCCATCCCATACTTAGCATGTACCCATTGTGACAGACCCAGACCAGTGGGGTAAAGGAGTTTGGTAGAGGGCAAATATACTGGTCACTGGATGAGTAGTTTTCTGTTCCCTGAGTGACCAGAGCAGGAGCTGCACTAGAGTAATCAGGAAACTGCTAGAACCAGTTAAGGCAGGCAGGCTAATTAGGACACCTGGAACCAATTAAGAAGAAGCTGCTAGAATCAATTAAGGCAGGCTAATCAGGGCACCTGGGTTTTAAAAAGGAGCTCACTTCAGTTTGTGGTGCGAGTGTGAGGAGCTGAGAGTGAGTGCGTGCGTGCGTGCGTGCATGCATGCAGCTGGAGGACTGAGGAGCACAAGCGTTATCAGACACCAGGAGGTGTGTTGAGAATAAGGAAGGTGTTTGGAGGAGGCCATGGGGAAGTAGCCCAGGGAGTTGTAGCTGTCATGCAGCTGTTACAGGAGGCACTATAGACAGCTGCAGTCCACAGGGCA